GGTTAACTAGCCAAACCATGATATATCTACCTGTGCCTATTCATCTTCGTATTTAGTTCTTAGTGTATATAAGAGATACTATAGAACGAGATATTATTCTTGACCTACAGTTAATGTGATACTCTTATAAGAATGCGTTCCAACCCTGATGTCCATCATATGATGAACGAAGGCTCAGCCCGTTTTCACCCGAAACGAGGGAGATCCCGTGGACTGAATCAACCTGAACGCCGTATTAAAGCCAAATGACTGCAGTACAACTAAGATCGCCTGCCCTCTTCTGGCGAGATCGACCTCCGAACCTCTTCTTCATGTACTTTTATACTAAATGAAAGTATCTCCAACATAATCGCCGCACGTAAGATAACTATAAATAACTGTCAAAAAGGAAACTAATCAGTTAAAACAATATTTGGCCGTAACTGCATACAATAAAATCAACGCCTTTCAATGCTCATGTGGTCTTATGGTGGGCATTGGAGGGTTTTCATGCGACGGTCAATCTTGGTTCTTTTTATGCATCACCCAATCTTGCCGTAATAGAATGTTACCACATACAAGATACTCCAGCTGTGTACCAACCAATTCTACTACCGCACTCACTAGCTCATATATTAACGACTAATTGTTGGTCTGAGCCCAGTTAGGCTTTTGTTAAAAATGTGTAGAGTTTGGTCCATAATCCCACAACCCTTCAAGCCAGTTTTGCTTGTTAATACTTCCCCGTTTAATTAATACAAATAAGACAAACTGGCAAAGCGCTTAGTTGCAGAGCTTGTAATTAGCAAGATATTATCCAAGCTTAGCCATTGTACAGGCCAATATTTGATCTTAGAATCACGAACTTTCATGGGATAAATAATGCTTGTGCCAGAATACTAGCTATGATAAAGCTAAATGTTTGCGCGTTGAGAACGCACTCGCCAGTCATACTGTACACAAAAATAACTTGAATAGAATGAACATACACCCACGATTTCAACGAGTTGCGATCCTCTATGAAAGAATTTTAATAGTAAATGTATCACTGAGCAATTATGGAAGTTACGTCAAGCCCAGGACGAACTAAAAGAGAAATTATCTTGTTTATAACTTGAAGGTAGAGAAAAGCATATGTACCCAAACTATTAGTCAAAATTAATTATCATACTGAGCAATGTATGAGGAAAATAAGTGAATGGTGCAATTTAACAGCCCATTGAAGTTTTTCCTACTTGCATAAAGGCCTAAATTGCTCAAGTAAATAATCCAATGTTTGGGCCGTGGGCAAAACCAGGAAGGCTAAGCTTTAAAGCTTTTACGATATCGCTTACAAACAGTTATACACAGAAATCCAACTCTGCCCAAGCCTTGCCAGAAGCCCCAAGGACAAGTAGTTGTCAGCTGAGCAGTGTGGTATCAATGAGTAAGAAAAACCATTTTAAATAACGCAGACCCCGACTCCTGGTCGAAGCGTGGTAAAACAAATTAGCCTGCCGCAAAGTTGACATCGCATAATAAACTTCAGACCAACCGAATGTTTATAGAAATAAAAGAGCCCATATAAGGATTTGGCCAGGTATCATTAGCATGGAAATAGGGAAAAAGTAGAGCCATCATGGCAGCCCAGAAACGACGAATGTCATTAGAGGTGTGCGGCGAACAGAGATGTTGCGTATCTCAAAATGGTAATGAAAATACATAACCTGACTAGGTTGGCTCTATACCCATAATAAAAATAGTTATGCCATTAACCCAAAATAGCCTGCACATTAGAAAGTAGCCTTTTTACAAACTTCCTCAGATAAAGAGAAAGGATCCTTAATCTAGCTTTGCCATATAGGCTAGATATCGAGAATCGCATTTCACACAGAATGCAGAATGACCGGAAGCAAATTTGTCTAGGCGAACAGCAACAAGGTCGTGTACAAAAGAACAAAGCCAAAGAGGAAGCTAGCTAACCCTATAGTGACCAATAAAAGAATTGAGGCCACATAACTGATAAATTTATCAATGACGAAGACCTAGAGCAGGAATATTGTTGCATTCAAAGCAACAAAATGTGGAATTGCGTACATAGGGAAAGCAAATCAATTTCATGAGACCAGAAATGTGTGAATCCCAATTACTTCAGAGATTGATCGATACAATTTCACTTGAGATGAAGGCCTAAATTTAACAACGAATTAGGATTTGGAGAATTCCCCAACATCGTTAATCCTCTGATCCTCCTCGTCCACTTCTTCAGCCAAGGATTTTTCTTCGGAATCTTTTTGTCCAGCCTCATTATCATCTCCCATCTTAGACGCATTTTCAACCCAGAGCCCGCTATCAATGCATCTTTTCATATGATATTCAGCATCCTTAGGATCCATTTTCATAATAGTCTGCGTTAAAAGACTGACATCCTTTGTTTCAAAACAAGTCTGAAGCTCCTGAAACATTAAGAAACACCGAAATAAGGAAATAATTTATGCGTTGTCTGTAGACAAGGAGGCAAAAAAAGACTTACTTTAGGTAAACTTTCAAAGACCTCTACAGGATCCAACCCACCAGGACCTAACCGCTGCATTTTCTCCTCCTAAAATACAAGCAGAAAAGATGAATAATTTAACGTCATAACAAAATTTAAAATTAGCCAAAATTAGGCACCTCCTCCAGTTTTGCCATTGCTTCCTCAATGCGAACATTCGCTCGAGCTCGAATTCTTTGTCGGAAAGCCTCTAGCTCATCCTCAAAAGCCTTCTTATATTCCGGTTCGGGATCTAAGAATCTGAATAAAATGAAGATTGCTTGGTACAATAATGACAAAAAGGAATCATCTAAGATAACTCACTTAGCAAAGAAAAGTCGGATAACAGCTCTGGGATCAACTTTAAGAGATTTAGCTAATTCAAGCATGAATTGCATGATGATGCATTGATGCGACACATGATTCATTAGGTCAAATTTCTGAAATTACCAAATGTACGAATATATACAATCAAATATTATTACAAATATATGAATAAGTCTGAACAAAATTAATTACTTCTTCCACTGCTAAATCAATGCACAATAGAACAAGCTGATTTGCGGTCTCATCACAAACAAGATAAGGGTGCTCAGAAAGAAATTTCTGTGAATCAGCGGGCTTACTAAACAGTCCGAATTGCCTGATTAGTTTTCTATGTTTATCGACAAAATCTTTAAGTCTTTGTATAGCTGTTTCATCGTCCTCTTTTTCCGGTTTTTCAAACTTAAGCTTTGCTGAATTAATAAAGGTCTTTGATTTTCCTTCATGGCAAATAGTGTCTATATTCCAAGGGCGCAGCTTAAAATTAGAATAAATCGAAATACCTTTTCTTTTTTCTTCCATTCTTCTTGTTTCACTTTCCACAATTCATTTTCTTCTTCCATTTTTTCCATATCTTTCTTATATTTTGCAAGGTCTCTCGATCCGCTCTATAACAGATCAGAAGTTTAAGCTTATGTACCTTAAGTGCTTCATTCAAAGCACGTTCTGCTTTTTCATATTTCCCTAAATGCTCCTTAAGACCTGTTTCAAATTCTATCTTTTCCTTATTCCATTGTGCATCTCTTTCAACTCTAGCTTGGTGCCTCCATCGGAAAAGGCTCGGTGTATCAATGTTAGGATGGGTATCATCCTCATCATCAGATACCTTTTAATATAAAGAAATTAAAAGTACCTCAATATGATCCCATTTACTATAGTTTAGGCCAGCCATGGCAAATAAGAGGGGAGAGAAAAGAAAAGCTCGCAGTAGTCGAAAGATGGCGCGAAGTAAAAGATATACAAAAAGAAATAGATCAGAGCTATGACATTCTCATGCAAAAAATTCATTTTGTTTAATTATTTTGAATAAAAAAATTAAATTTATAACTAATCTAAGGATACATTGATGTTCAAGGAGCTAT